GAGGAAGATCAGTCCTGAGCTCACATCCGCCAATCCTCCTCTTTTTTTGCTGAGGAAGACTGGCCCTGGGCTAACATCCATACCCATCTTCCTCCACTTTACATGGGACGCCAAGACAGCATGGCCTGACAAGCTGCGCGTGGATGCACGCCCAGGATCCAAACCGGCGAACCCTGGGCCGCCACAGCGGAGCGCGTGCACTTAACCGCTTGCGCCACCAGGCCGGCCCCCATTTTTTTCTTTTATATTTAGTTCTTTGTGTCTTCTCTTGGAAATCTTTACATATGCCAATGTCACGAATATATTCACTGGCCGTTTTTTTACAAGGTTTATACTTCTAGCTAGAAATGCATTAGTTCTTTTTAACTACCTCATTCCTCTAATCATGTCCATTTCTAAGTTTGAAATAAACAGGACTGATAATTTGGCCTATCAGTTTATAAGTTTTAGAATTAAACAGTTAGTATACGGGCCTTAAATTATTATAAATGAACAAAACTAACAGTATTTGGTGTGTAGTGGGTCAAACAGATTAACACAACATTATACTGGTGAATTGCCAACTCCTGGCTTGTTAATTCATCCATGTCATTATCATAGTCTTTATTTTGGAAGCCTTTAGTACGAAAAGAAGTGATATGTTTTACTCTTTAAAAGTCAGACTACAAAAGATGTTCCAGATGCAGTGTCTCAGACAGATGATTTGTTGAGTTAATGGATGATTAATAAATTGATACCCAGTTTCTCTTTGACATCAAATAACCCTGAGATTCTTACAAAGCTGTCATCTTTACTAACTTATATGAGCATAACGTAAAGAACTGGCATACCTGTATTTCTTCACGTTCCTTTTTATCTGGAAAAATTCTTGCAACTGTGGTATACTTTTCAAAAACTTTGCGTTCTTTTTGTAATTTCCTCATTTCCTCCTTTTTAAACTCTTCTATTCGAGCTAATTCTTTTGCTTTCTGTTGTTCAAAGTCTGCAATTTCTTTCCTAAAATGACCAAACCATGTTATCATCTAAGGGGACCGTCTCAATATGAGTAACCCATATGAGGTGTCAAAATGGAACACTGGTGATAGCCTGTAATTGAAGAGCTGCTAGTTTTGGTGAATCCATCTTCCATCCACAGTCCTGTAATAACAGTCAATTAACTCAATAAAGCATTCCTCCAACAAGCATTCATTGAGCATCTACTATGAATCAAGTACTACACCAAGTACTAGAAAAACCATAGTGAAAATAATAAACATCCATACTCCCATGAAGCTTCTTACATTCTAACGGGAGGGACAAATGATGATAAACAAGATAAATAAGTAAAATATATGGAACATTAGAAGTGTTAAAGAGAAAAATAAAGCAAGGAATGAGTTAGGAAATATCAGGGTAGAAGACTGAAATTATGGATGGGGTCATCTTGCTGAGATAATGTCTGAAGTAAAACCTGAAGGAAGTGAGAGAACAGCCACGAGGATATCTGAACAAAACAGTTCAGGCAGAGCGAACACCACATGCAAAACTCTTGAGGGAGAAATATGCCTGAAGTGTTCAAAGAACAGCCAGGAGGCCAGTGTGGCTAAAAAAGAGTGAGCAAGAGACAGAACAGTAGGAGAAAACGTAAAGAAAAAAACCCAGAAGCCCAGATTAATTAGTCTTATACACACCACTGTGAGGACTTCAGTATTTAGCTTAGGAGACTGTCAAACAGAAGAACTGTCATCACCCAGGTTCATCTGGATGCTGTGTTAAGAGCATAGGGAGGGGCTGGTCCCATGGTATAGGGGTTAAGTGTGCACGCTCTGCTGCTGGCAACCCGGGTTTGGATCCCCGGCGTGCACTGATACACCGCTTGTCAGGCCATGCTGTGGCGGCGTCCCACATAAAGTGGAGGAGGATGGGCACGGATGTTAGCTCAGGGCCAGTCTTTCTCAGCAAAAAGAGGAGGAGTGGCGACAGATGTTAGCTCAGGGCCAATCTTCCCCACAAAAAAAAAATTAAAAAAGAAAAAAAAAAAAGAGCATAGGAAGAGTGACATCAGCAAGATGGTGGAATAGGAGGTCCATGGGTCACATGCTCCCAAACAAACAATTTGACAGCCATTCATGGAAAAAAGTCCTTTTGTGGGAGCTCTAGGATCCAGGTAGGAGGTTGAGAAATCCCAGTGAAGCCTAAGATCAAGGACAGCCACTTTGAGAAGGCAGGCCTGTACCCCAGTGGCAGACTTACTAAACGTCACCCAGGCTGTAGACCAAAAACAGCATGGTCCCCCTGTGGACTCAGGTCCAGCCCCATCTGTCAAAGGACACAGGAGGAACCATGCCCATCTGGGCCCCTGGTAACAGGCCCACAGACCTTGCTCCCAACTATGGATCCTGAAACAGCCCTGTGACACAGCTCCAGCCCTGCTCTACTGTGGTACTGGAGGTAGTCCGGCACACCCAGGGAACCAGCAGGAGGATACTCAGGGGCCCAGCAGGATGATGCTCAAGAAGCTGGCAGGAACCACACCCATCGTCACCCCTGGTAACAGACCCACTGCCTGCAGACTCAACAGTGGACCCAAAAGCAGCCCCATGACTTAGCTCCAGCCCTGCTCAACTGTGGTGCCAGAAGCAGTCCTGTCAAACTGGGGATCCAGCAGCAACCACACCTGCCTGTGTCCCTGGTAATAGGCCTGCCAACTGTGGACCCCATTTTAGACCCAGAAGCAGCCACATGATCTGGCTACAACCCCACTTGATCTGCAATCTTGGAGGCAGACTCATCAGTCCAGGGATCCAGCAGGAGAGAAGGTCTTTACCTGTCAAAACCAATTTGTAGACAGGAAGAGGTGTTTTCTCTTTCAAATGAAAGACATCAACACAGGCTACACAGATCATGAAGAATCAGGCAAACATGACACACCAAAGGAAACCAATCAAGCTCCAGTAACCAACCTCAAAGAAAGGGAGATCTACAAATTGCCTGACAAAGAATTCCAAATAATTGTTTTACGGAAGCTCAGTAAGCTAAAAGGGAAAACAGAAAAGAAAATCAACAAAATCAGGAAAACAATACATGAAACAAAATCAGACATTCAACAAAGAGATAGAAATCATAAAAAAAAAAGAACCAAACAGAAATTCTGGAACTGTAGAATACAATAAATAAAGTGAAAAAATGCAACAGAAAACTTCAACAGCAGACTCAGTCAAGCAGAAGAAAGAATCTGTTACCTCAAAGACGGGTAATTTGAAGTTATTCAGTCAGAGGAGAAAACAGAAAAAAAGAATAGGACCGGCTCAGTGGCATAGCAGTTAAATGTGCACACTTTGCTGTGGTGGCCTGGGGTTCAGATCCCAGGCACACACCGACGCACCACTTGTCAAGCCATGCTGTGGTAGCATGCCATATAAAATGGAGGAAGATGGGCACAGTTGTTAGCCCAGGGCCAGTCTTCCTCAGCAAAAAAAGAGGAGGAGTGGCGACAGATGTTAGCAGGGCTAATCTTCCTCACAAAAAAAAAGAATAAAAAAGAGTGAAGAAAGCCTATGGGATTTATGAGACTCTGACTAACAAACCAATATATGTATTATGGGACTCTCAGGAGGAAAAACCCACACAAAATTGACAAACTCTTTGATTGACTAAGGAAAAAAGAGAGAAGACTCAAATAAATAAAGCTGTAAATAAAAGAGCAGACATTACAACAGATGCATCAGAAATCAAAAAGAACATATTATGAACAATTATACTCCAAAAAATTGGATCACCTAGAAGAAATGGATAAATTCCTAGAAACATACAACCTACCAAAAGTGAATCTGGAAGAAATAGAAAGTCTTAACAGACCAATAATAAATATGGAGATTGACTCCATAATCAAACACTTCCCAACAAAGAAAAGTCCAGAACCAGATGGCTTCACAGGTAAATTCACCAAACATTCAAAAAAGAATTAATACCAATCCTTCTAAAACTCTTTCAAATAAGGAAGAAGGAACGCTTCCAAACTCACTTTATGAGGCTAATATCATTCTGATACCAAAGCCAGACAAAGACACCACAAGAAAAGAAAACTAGAGGCCGCTAGCTCTGACGAACATAGATGTAAAAATTCTCAACAAAATACTACTAAACCAAATTCAACAGCACATTAAAAGGGATATACACTATGACCAAGCAGGATTCATCCCTGGGAGGCAAGGTTAGTTCAAAATATGCAAATCAATTAATGTGATGTAACCTGGTGTACCCACTGTGGAAAACTATGGCAGTTCCTCAAAAATTTAAGTATAGAATTATCACATGATCTAGCAATTCTACCCCTGGGGTATATATCCAAAACAATTAAAAGCAGAGACTTGACCAGATATTTGTACACCAATGTTAACAGCAGCATTATTCACAATAACCAAAAGGTAGAAACAACCCAAATGTCCAGCTGCAACCAGGGAACAACAAAGGATCGTTGGCAACCACTAGAAGACAGGAGAGAAAGCATGGCTCTGCTGATGACTTGACTGCATATTTCTCCCCTCCAGAACCCTGAAGAAATAAATTCCTGTTGTTTTAAGCCACTCAATTTGTGTGTACTTTGTTACACACACTTAGCGCAGCTCTAGGAAATTAATACAACAGCCAAGGTAGCAAGTGAATTCATGGTTCAAAACTGCTTTTCAAATTTCAATTTATGATCTCAACACTAAGACAATTCTCTTTTTAACACATCTTTGACCACAATGGGTCATTCGATTCAATCAGAAAATTCTTGGGGCCGGCCCGGTGGCATAGTGGTTAAGTTGGCGCACTCCACTTCGGTGGCCCGGGATTCACAGGTTCAGATCCCGGGCTTGGACCTGCTAACTGCTTATCAAGCCATGCTGTGGCAGGCATCCCACATATAAAGTAGAGGAAGATGGGCATGGATGTTAGCCCAGGGACAATCTTCCTCAAGGAAAAAGAGGAGGCTTGGCAACATGTTAGCTCAGGGCTAATCTTACCAAGGGGAAAAAAAATTCTTATGTGGTATAGATTTCAATTCCTTTTCATTTATACTGTTGGACTGATAAAAACTGTTTCAAATATTTTAGATATAATCTTAAAGATATTACAACCACTGTATATTTTTCCCAACTTATAAATGCAAACTTACCTGAGTTTTTCCAAGGCACTTTCTCGTTTAATGCGAAGTCTAGCTAAAGACATGTTCTCAGCTTTAAATTTTTCTATTTCCATTTCCAATTCAATAACTTTCTCTCTCAAAACTTGAGATCGAGCACTGTCACCTATAAAACAGGCCATAAATATTGAACTTCACAAAGGGACTTCAGCAGCAAAAACACTAGCTAGCTGTATTAAAACTAAGAGCCAAAAATATAGTAAACACCTGTACAATTAAAATGCAATGCTTCCAGGCTGGCCCCACGGTGTAGTGGTTAAGTGCGTGTGCTCCACTGCTGGCAGCCCGGGTTCAGATCCCCGGCACAAACCAACGCACCGCTTGCCAAGGCATGCTGTGGCGGCGTCCCACATAAAGTAGAGGAAGATGGGCACAGATATTAGCCCAGGGCCAGTCTTCCTCAGCAAAAAGAGGAGGATTGGCACGGATATTAGCTCAGGGCTTATCTTCCTCACAAAAAAAATAATAAAATAAATAAAATAAAATAAAATGCAATGCTTCCAATAACAAAAAGAAAAAAACACTATATTGGCCTAACTTTCCACATGAAACCAGTCTAAATTTAATACAGAATCAAATTATTCTACCTCAAAAGATTATTCAATCTGATAATGAATTAATATATATAAAAAGAAATAATTTAAATAAAATTTTTCTATGGTGAGGAAGATTAGCCCTGAGCTAACATGCGTTGCTAATCCTCCTCTTTTTGCTGAGGAAGAGTGGCCCTGGGCTAACATTCATGCCCATCTTCCTCTACTTTACATGTTGGACACCTGCCAGAGCATGGCTTGATAAGCAGTGCATAGGTCTGCACCCAAGATCCAAACCTGTGAACCCTGGGCCACCAAAGCAGAGCACACAAACTTAACCACTATACCTCCAGGCCAGCCTCTTAAATAAATTTTTTTAAAAATCAATACATAAACATAGTTTAAGGGGTCTGGCCCCATGCTTAAGTTCAGCCTGCCACGATCTGGCAGCCCGGGGCTCATGGGTTCAGTTCCTGGGCACGGACCTACACCACTCATTGGCAGCCATGCCGTGGCAGTGACCCACGTACAAAATAGAGGAAAGACTGGCACAAACGTTAGCTCAGTGCAAATCTTCCTAAAGCAAAAAGAGGAAGACTGGCAACAGATGTTAGCTCAGGGCGAATCTTCCCTCAACAACAACAACAAAAAAAAGCTTAAGAACAAGAATAAGCAATTCACAACAGCTCTAAAGCACTAATCAACACCAAAAATAAACTTTACCCCCACTAATCAAAGAAATACAAATTAAGCCTGAAAAATATCAAATTTTCTATTTAAAAGAGGAAAATACTTCTGTCCTTCAACTACCTTTGGGAAAAATAAATCTGATTTATATCACAAGACTAAAATACCCATATCCATCCTTTGACCCAGTTATTCTACTTCTAAAAATCTAGTTTAACAAACCTGTAAAATCACACAAATAGTTTTGCACAAAAATATGCACAACAGTGTTATTTTTAATACTGAGAAATAATTTAACTGTCTAACATTAGGTAAATTACTGAATAAACTTATGCTACATACATATAATGTTCTGCAACCATTTTTAAAGAACAAAAAGAATTTAATTATATGGGCCAATGCATATTATACACCTAATCAAAAAGGATGAGTCAAGTTATAATATATGTTTCTACCATATTAAAAATACACAAGAGGAGACCTCCAGAGCATCACGGCAGACTGAGCTTTCTCCTTTGAACTCTCCCCATCTAAGACACTACAAAAAGGACATTTTCATACCAACAAAGGACACACACAACACAGAAGACATCTGAGAGACCCACACAGCCTTACATCTGAAGGAGGAGGTGCTGGAACCCCCGAAGGAAGTGGGGAGAGGTATGGAGAAATCCTCCCCCTCCCCGTTCAATAGGTGACTCCAGGTCTGCGCAGCTCCCAGAGAGGTGGGGGAGGGGTGAGCCTCTGCAGGAAAACTGTTGCTCTCCAAGTTCTCTCACAGCCTGTGAGAAATTCCCATACGGAGGAGAGTGAACTGTTGCAGGGGTGCCATCAACATCTGAGCACCCCAGGAAAGCAGATAGGGAAGAATGAGAAATCCCAGGATTGGGCAGGTGAAAGAAAAAGCCCCTCCCCCCACATGCCCAGCATTTCAGCACAACCAGTTGGCCAGAGCGCCCGCAGATTGCGGCAGGCTTAGAACACACAGCTTTTCACCCCCACCCAGTGGCAGTGGGTGGAAACTGCAACCAGATATTTTCAGTATGAGGAAAAAATCAGCCAACATCGGCAGGCACAATACAAAAATATACTGAATCTCCAGACTAGAAGGCAAATGATAAGCACCCAGAAATCAATCCTGAAGACACAGAAATTTATAATCTAAACGACAGAGAATTCAAAATAGCTATTATAAAAAGGCTCAATAAATTACAAGAAAATACAGATAGACAACTCAATGAAATCAGGAATTTCTTCACAAAAGATTGAAACCATAAAGAAAAACCAATCAGAAATGTTGGCGATGAAAAAAACAATGGAGGAGATAAAGGAAAATCTGGAATCTTTAAAGAACAGCGCTGACAATATGCGGGAAAGAATTAGCATTATTGAGGACAGGAATGCAGAAATGTTCCAGATAGAGGAGAAACAACTAAGACTAAAAAGAAATGAAGAAATTCTCTGAGAACTACCTGACTCAATTAGGAAATGCAGCATAAGAATTGTAGGTATTCCTGAGAGAGAAGACAGGCAAAAAGGAACAGAGAGCTTGTTCAAGGAAATAATAGCTGAGAACTTCCCATCTTGGGAAGGAGCTGGAAATACCAGGGAATGAAATCAATAGATCTCCTAAATACATCAACATGAAAAGACTCTCTCCAAGGCATACAGTAACAAAGCTGGCAAAAGTCAATGACAAAGAAAAAATATTAAGGGACGCTAGATTACAAAAAATAATAATAATACAAAAAAGGAATTCCCATCACTCTCTCAGCAGATTTCTCAACAGAAACTTTACAGAGTAGGAAAGAATGGAATGATGTATTCAAAATTCTGAAAGACAGGGGCCGGCCCCATGGCGTAGTGTTTAAGTGCGCACGCTCCGCTGCAGGCGGCCCGGGTTCAGATCCCAGGCGCGCACCAACACACCGCTTGTCAGGCCATGGTGTGGTGGCATCCCATATAAAGTGGAGGAAGATCGGCACGGATGTTAGCTCAGGGCCAGTCTTTCCTCAGCAAAAAGAGGAGGATTGGCATGGATGTTAGCTGAGGGCTGATCTTCCTCATGCGTGTGCGCGCGCATGCACACACACACACACACACTAAATAAATAAATAAATATTAAAAAAAAAATTCTGAAAGACAAAAACTTTCAACCAAAAATACTATATCCAGCAAAAATATCCTTTAGATATGATGGAGAAATAATAACTTTCCCAGATAAACGAAAGCTAAGGGAGTTCATTGCCACAAGACTCCCACTACAAGAAGTGCTCAAGAAGGCTCCCTTGCCTGAAAAAAAAAAAGGAGAAAGGGGATACAAAACTTTGAGCAAGGAGAAAAATAGGTAGAGAAAATCAAAAAAGCTCTCTATCAGAATAGGTCAGCAAACACTTAATTACCAAAATCAAAGATTAAGGGAAGGAAAACACCAAAAATAAATATAAACTCATCACTTTAAACACACACTCACAACACAAGAAGGAATAAGTTGTGACAATAATAACTTAGAAGGGGAAGAGGAAAGAGATCAAATAGACTTAGTCTAAGGAAATAAGAGGTCATCAGATAATGGACTATCTTATCCATGAGATTTTTTTATACAAACCTCATGGTAACCACTAAACAAATAATCAGAACAAAGTCACATGTGACAAATAAAGAGAAAACTAAAAGAATCATCATACAGAACTACCAAATTGAATTGGTAGTCCGAAATACATGGGACGAGAAACAAGGAAATGCAAAAGAACCAGAAAATGAACCAAAAAATGGGCAACATTAGGCTCTCATATATCAATAATCACTCTAAATTTAAATGGATTGAATTCTCCAATCAAAAGACACAGAGTGGTGGGATGGATTAAAAAACAAGACCTGGGGCCAGTCCCACGGCTTAGTGGTTAAGTGTGTACGCTCCGCTATTGGCGGCCCGGGTTCAGATCTTGGGCGCACACTGAAGCACCACTTCTCTGGCCATGCTGAGGCGGCATTCCACATACAGCAACTAGAAGGATGTGCAACTATGACATACAACTACTTAATGGGGCTTTGGGGAGAAAAAGGGAAAAAAAGGAGGAGGATTGACAATAGATGTTAGCTCAGAGCCAGTCTTCATCAGCAAAAAGAGGAGGATTGGCATGGATGTTAGCTCAGGGTTGATCTTCCTCAAAAAAAAAAAAAAAAAAACACCCAACAATATGCTGCCTCCAGGAAACACATCTCAGCTCTAAAGACAAACAGGGGCTCAGCGTGAAAAGATGGAAGACGATACGCCAAGCTAATGGGAAACAAAAGAAAGTAGATGCTGCCATACTTATATCAGAAAAAACAGACTTCAAGATAAAACAGGTAATGAGAGACAAAGAGGGGCAATCTATAATGATAAAAGGGAAACTCCACCAAGAAGACACATCAATTATAAATATATATGCACCCAACACAGGAGCATCAAAGTACATAAAGCAACTATTAACAAACCTAAAAGGAGATATTAACAACAACACGATAGGAAAGGATCTTAACACCCCACTTATATCAATGCATAGACCATCCAGACAAAAAGTCAATAAGGAAATAGTGGACTTAAATGAAAAATTAGACGAGATGAACTTAGACATATACAGAGCACTCCACCCAAAAACAGCAGACTACACATTCTTCTCAAGCGTGCACGGAACACTCTCAAGGATAGACCATATGTTGGGAAACAAGGCAAGCCTCTGTAAATTTAAGATGATTGAAATCATAACAAGCATCTTTTCCAACCACAATGCTATGAAACCATAAATCAACTACAAGAAAATAATTGGGAAAGTGATGAAGATGTGGAGATTAAACAACATGCTACTGAACAACCAATGGATAATTGATGAAATTGAAGGAG